CCCCCCCCCCCCCCCCCCCCCCCCCCCCCGTCCCCGGCTCAGGGGCAAAGCAAGAATAAAGAATGCTAACAAGGCCTGCGTTTTCGTGATTAATGCTCCGGTTGGGGAGAAAGCGAAACATTCCTGCGTTGTTGGTTTTTCCAAAACTTTTTTTTTTTACTTCCCCGGCTTTGCTCAAATGTTCCTGATGAGCTGGTGTTTAGAACTAATTGACAGTTTTAATGATCCCCAGCTGGGCCACGGGACATGCCTTCATTTAGGAAGCTTTTACTGAGCACCTGGGGCGTGCCAAACTCAGTGCCGGTCTGGGGGGCGGGGGGACACACAGAGGAGCCAACCCTGTCCCTGGGCCGTAAGGTCGTGCCGTGAACAGGACAAGATGTGGGGTGGGGGGCAGGGGGGGGCGGGGGGTGGTCAGAGCAGTGTCCAGGAGACCCGGCATCTGGGAGCTGGGCAGAGGGCAAGAAGGTGGAGACGAGGGGGCAGATCCAAGGGACGATCAAGAAGCAGTTGGGGACTCCTTCAACAGGACCCGTGTAGCACCAACCACAAAATGAAAGGGCATATGTTGGACCTCACCAAAAGTAAATAAACACTTGCCCCCAGCAGAAGACATATTGGAAGAATGTGAAAAGGCAAAGCCCAGTATTGGGAATAGATTTTGACAAAGATCTCATGTCCCAAATATACGTCTAAAAAAATCCTGCATCATTTATTATTTATTATCATTTATTTATTTATTATTATTATTTATTTTAAAAATAAAATAAAATACTGGGACACCTTGGTGGCTCAGTGGGTTAAGCCTCTGCCTTCGGCTAGGGTCATGATCCCAGGGTCCTGGGATCGAGCCCCATGTTGGGCTCCCTGCTCAGCGGGGGGTCTGCCTCTCCCTCTCCCTCTGTCCCTCCCCTTGCTGGTGTTCACACACTCTCCCTCTCGTTCTCAAAAATAAATAAATAAAATAAAAAAAAAAAAACACAAAACTTCATGGAGAATTATTTAAAAAAAAAATCCTACCCATCCTTAATGGAAAGTTAACAATCACGGACACACACACACATACACACACACACAGTGGGCGCCTGGCTGGCTCAGTCAGTAGAGCGTGCGACTCTTGATCTCAGGCTTGTGAGTTCCAGCCCCACGCTGCGGGGAGAGCTTCCTTAAAAATAAAATCTTAAAAAGAGAGAGAGAGACACAAAAGAGAGCATACTTCTTTCTGTAACTTTTTAAAAGAATAGCATGCTTAAAAATAACTTTTTTTTAAAAGATTTTATTTATCTACTTGACAGAGATCACAAGTAGGCAAAGAGTCAGGCAGAGAGAGAGGAGGAAGCAGGCTCCCCGCCGAGAAAAGAACCTGACGTGGGGCTCGATCCCAGGACCCTGGGATCATGACCCAAGCCGAAGGCAGAGGCTTTAACCCACTGAGCCACCCAGGTGCCCCAAAAATAACTTTTTTATTAAGATATAATTCACATGCCATAAAATCCATCCTTTTAAAGTATATAATTCAGTGGCTTTTAGTATCCTTCCAAGTCTGGGTGGCTATCTCCACTGTCTATATCCAGGACATTTTCATCACCCCTCAAAAGAAACCTGTTAGTTGGTTAAGCTGCTGCCTTCGGCTCGGGTTATGATCCCAGGGTCCTAAGATCGAGTCCCACATCGGGCTCCTTGCTCAGTGGGGAGGCTGCTTCTCTCTCTGTCTCTCTGTCTCTCTCTCTGACAAATAAATAAAATCTTAAAAAAAGGAATAAAGAAATCCGTTAGCAGTCACTCCTCACCCCTTTCTGTACCCAATCCCCAGCAACCACCAATCTATTTTTCTATGAATCTGCCTATTCTAGACATTTCATATAAATGGAGTCATACAGTATATGGCCTTTTGTGTCTGGCTTCTTCGAATAACGTTTCCATGGTTCGTCTGTGTTGTGGTACTTTTCCTCTTTATAGCTGGATAACATTTCGTTGTATGTGGCTAGACCATGTTTTGTTCATCCACTCATCTCTTGATGGATAATAGGGACGTTCCCACTTTGGGGCTATTATGAGTAACACTCCTGTGAACATTCATGTGCAAGTTTTTGTGTGAACATGTTTTTTGATTCTCTTCTAAGGATGAAATTGATGGGTCATATAGTAATTCTATATTTAACTTTTCTGGGAATTGCTAAACTGCTTTTCAAAGCACTTTTTCAAAGGGACAGCCCCATTTTATATGCCCAGTGGTAATGTTCAAGGTTCTTCTACTTTCTTCACATCCTCACCAGCACTGTTATTTTTGTTTTTTTCCCTTTTTTATATTTTTATTTATTTATTTATTTTTTAAGTAAGCTCTACATCCAATGTGGGACTTGAACTCACAACCCAAGATCAAGAGTGGCATGCTCCACCAACGGAGCCAGCCAGGTGCCCCACTGTTTTTGTTTTTATTTTTTAAATAGCCCTCTTAGTGGGTGTAAAGTTGCATCTCATTTTGTTTTTGATTTGCATTTCTCTAACGATTGATGAAGCTGAGCATCTTATCATGTTCTTATTGACCATTTTTATCTCTTTCTTTTTTTTTTAATGTCTTTTCAGCTTCTTGGCTCACTTTTAAATTGGGTTATTTATCTTTTTTGTTGCTGAGCTGTAAGAGTTCTTTATATATTTCGATACTAGGCTTTTTAGATACATGATGTGCAAAAAAATGTTCTCCCGTTCTGTGGGTTGTCTTTTCACTTCCTTGACAGGGTTGTTTATTTTTTTTTAAGATTTTATTTATTTATTTGACAGAGATCACAAGTAGGCAGAGAGGCAGTCAGAGAGAGAGGAGGAAGCAGGCTCCCCGGCTGAGCAGAGAGCCCGACGTGGGGCTTGATCCCAGGACCCTGAGATCATGACCTGAGCCTAAGGCAGAGGCTTTAACCCACTGAGCCACCCAGGCACCCCTGATAGGGTTGTTTAATGTTTATTCTTTCTTCCAAGAGTTTCATAGTTTCAGCTTCTGCATTTAGGACATTACGACATCTTGAGGGTTATGGAGTTGTTGTTGTCTATGGTGTGAGGTAGGGGTCCAGCTTCATTTTTTTGCCTATAGATATCCATTCTTCCAGGATTTGGAGGAGTGAGACTGTGTTCCCCCTTGTGAAAGGATGAACTGATCAGAGTGGTGGGTTTATATCTAGACTCTCATTTCCAATCCATCCACCTCCATGTCTCAGTGCATACCTTTTAATTCCACTTACGTGGTATTTCGAACCAAGTGAAACTAATTTATGGAGGCCGAAGGCAGGATAATGGCTATTTCTGGGGGTGGGGAAGGGCCATGAGAGAGACTTATGGGAGATGAAAATGTTCTATGTCTTGATCTGGTGGCCAGTACTCAGGTGTAGACATGAAAGGTGATCAGACGGTACCATTAAGAGTTGAGCAGTTAATGCCCTTTCCTATATTTATGTTCTATCCCAACAGTAAGGAAAGAGAAAGAAAAGAAGGAATGAGAAATAGGAAAGAGAAAAAGATGGGGGGGGGGAGGGAAAGAGAAGACAGGATGGTCAGAAGATAGGGTGGAGATGAAGGGCATCAAGGGGAGCCGTGGGGACATGGCTTTGGTGACTGATGGCTCTATGCCCTTGGATGCCATGTCTAGGGCTCTGGGAGCCAGGGCCTGACCTAGCCTGTGAAGGGATCGCAAGCAGTGGGACCAGAAGAGACCACGGAGTAACCCTGAACCCTTAGAGCAGGAGGAGGACCAAGCAGAGACGGGCAGTCAGCAGGCTGGGAGGGGAGACCTGGGGGAGACGATCAGGTGGAAAAAATGCCAACAATGTGGGATCTGAAGGGCCGGACCCCAGGCTGAGGTCTGCACATGCTCTTAGAGATCTCAGCCCTGTGAATGCAGGACAGGAAAGGGAAGCACGGAGCTTGCCCAAGGTCACTTGGTGGAGCTGGGACGGGGACCCAGGCAGCCCAGCTGTGCCCCCATAAGCTCTACCCCACACTACCAGCTGATGCAGTGTAGTGTGGGGGTAGGGACAGAGTTTAGGATCAGAGTTTAGGGCCACAACAAGAAGGTTCCTTTCCCTGTCCCTCACCCTCCTAAACTCCTTGTTGCCTCTGGGGGAGGTGGGGAGAGAGGTGTGGCCATCAGCCCGGAGCTCCCCGGCACAAGGGCAAGGTCTGCGAGCAGGGGCTGGGGACAGCCCAAGGCCGAGGAGGAGCAATACTCCAAAAGAGCCCTCTCTCTCCGCCCAGGCCTTGCTCCTTCTGCTCTCTAAGACTTTGGCTTTCCTGGAAATCAAGGTCTCTGCTGCTGAGGAACTCGTCAGACCTGTTTACGTCTTGAGGAACCAGGCCAGAGCCAAGCTGGAGGGAACAGACGCCATGGGCACCTGCTGGGCCGCCTCACAGCTCCGGGAGGCCTGGCTCCCTATGACACCGAGTTCTGCCCGCCCTGCAGTGGCCCAGCCCCACGAGGACATGGGGCGGCCAGCTGGGAAGGCCAGAGGGGCAGCTCAGGAGAAGACCCTGGAGGCCCATTTACTCCTCCGTCCCTCAGACATCTGACCACTTACACCCACTCAGTTCCACAGCCCAGAGAGGATCGGTAACACCAGGAACATCCACCTCTGTCCTCAGTGGGCTCTGGCTCCACAGGCATGGGAGTGAATGGGCTCTGGTGGCCTAGGGAGAAGAAGGCAGGGGCAACGTGGGGGGCCAGTGGCGGTTCCAAGGCCCTGGCTTCTGCCTCTCTCGGTGTCTCCACAGCTTAGCTGGCTCATGGCCCCTCTCCTTCCACTAAGGTTCTTTGGTGATTTGACTGCCCCTGACCCAAGCCCACAACCAG